AGTGTTGGTTTCTTCTCCCAAGTAACAAGCAATAGGACAAGAGGAAATGGCCTCGGGTTGTGCCAGGGCAGATTTAGGTTGGACATTAGCAAAAATTTCATCACCAAAAGGGTTGTCAAGCATTGGAATGGGCTGCCTGGGGAAGGGGTTGAGTCCCCATCCCTGGAGGTATTTAAAAGCCGGGCAGACGCGGTGCTTAGGGACATGGTTTAGTGGTGGGATGGCAGGGTTAGGCTAATGGTCGGACTTGATGATCTTAAAGGTCTTTTCCAACCCAAATGATTCTATGATTCAGTTTCCTTTTGTGTTTTTTTCTTTTTTTGTGTGTTGGTCCAAAGCATTAGGAGTAGCACAGAGGTCAGCGATGCTGCCTCTGCATAGCAGATAGGCGTGAGATGATGTTGCGTGTCTGGATTTAAACCTGGTGCAGTCTCACTGATTTTTGCCTAGAGGAAGCAATTTCTGGGATAAACTATCCCTGGAACAGCTCCTGAGTTTGTCTTGGCAATACAGAGCTGAGCAGCCAGCTAAGTTTGTTCCCTCGGTCTGTTTTATTTACTAGTGGACATATTCCCTTCAAGGTTTATTTTGAGGCAGTTTGCTGGCATGACAAGATGGGAAGGGTTAGCAGCAGGGAGAGGGCTGCAAAGTCTTGTGAAAGGGACTGTTTGATTTCCATGATGTCCTTCTGCCCCTCCGTTCCTCCTCCATGCACTGTCAGCATCACCGGACAAGGAATATCTTGTACTGCACACATGCAGTTATCGCATGATGGGATGCAGCTATTTGTCTTGTGAAAGAAAGGCATTTTTGGTGCAATAAATAAAATAAGCACACAAACAATAACAACAAAAAGAAAAGTCAATAAATATTTTTCTCTGGGAGGGCGGGAGGGTGGGTTATGAGGCAGTGGCGCTGTCTCAAGCTGCACATTTCCTTAAATTCATGTTTGTAGCTGAGGTCTCCCATTGCAGTTGGCCAGAGGGCATATAAACACACTGCTTTGGCAGACCATTTGATAGACCATAT